AGAATTCTTCTCGATATTTATTGAGTAAAATAAATAAATATTATAGGTCAAATTTGGCTTAAATATAGGCCAGTCTGTAATTTTAAAATTACAGACTGTGTAAATTGGGCAAAATGGTTTGGGAGAATTTGGGGGGAAAAAAAGCATATGGTGGTATAGATGGGGATCAAAAAAAAAAAAAAAGTACAAGAACAAAGTCCCAACTGCTCAAAATTCACATAGCCCCAGATTTTAACAAATAATCTAGCTTGAAATATTCAGACCACCACAGAGAATGTGTGAATAAATGTGGACAATTCAGATTAAGAAATCTGAGTGCAGTGTCGCTGTTCTCTTTAACCCTGCAATGTAAACTGCAATTGCAGGAAGACAGCCACTAGAGGCGCTTCCTGCAGTATCACAGAGTTTTAACTCAATGTAAAACCCATACGAAAAGGCCTAATGTGCTTGCAGTACTTAATTTGCATGTGTATTAGGTTTCCTCCATTGGCTGACTTAGGCAGAGGACGAGTGTGACAGGGGGACAGTGGCACTGGAATCGGGTAAATAAAATAATTTTTTTAATTCTTAATGGACGGGGGAGGGGCTGCAGAGGGACACTATAGTGTTAATAATACATCTTTGTATTCCTAATACTAAAGTGTTCCTTTAACAACAACAAAAAAAATTGTTCAGTTTTCCAGATGTAGAAGGAAAACCTCTTAACATAGAATCTAAACATACCAGTTTTCAGAAGCTACATGAAGAGCTAGCAAAGCATTGATGGATATAAAATGTTAAATGTAAGTGGTATACTAGACGCAATTTGGGAAATCACATGTACAACAAATCATCCTTACTTCTTTTGCAATTTGAGGGGATTTCTTTGCAGATCAAACATAGCAACATTTACTTATGGTTTAGCTTTTCACCTTACAACAGAAAGGTGAAAAGAAAATAGAATTCTAAAATTGGTATAAATGGACCCACCGTCTCCCCATCAGGAAGTCCTTTTGCTTGTCCACTGCAGTTTGGAGGAGCCTACATTTTATTTTATGCTCACCAGCCCAATATTTTTTTGTAGGATCATCCAGGGATCAGCCTCTAATCTCTGAAGATCTAGCAAACAGCACACATATAAAAGGCGTGCCACCTTTAATGACCCAGACTCTCTCTCTCTCTCTGAGGGGATGACAGCAGTCCACTGGATACATGGGTCCAAGCCAGGGCTAATCAGCTTTCCCTGAAGACCCAGTAAACTGCACTTATATAAGGTGAACTTGGGTATGCCTCTTTTATTTATACCACCTTATCTGGGTTCTGTTTTAAACCCTCCCCTACTGGTGATCGTTAGCGGCATATGAAAGCCTCTAGTTTAAACAGCTTAGGCCATCATTTGTTCATTTTCCTATTTACCACTGAAATATAGGCTTGTAGCAATGAATCTGTCTCCATGGCTGTTTAGTATGTTTTCATACCTCATATAAGTACACTTTGATAAGTACATTAGTAATTTAGATTAAATACTAGTATATGTACCTGGGTGTTTGTTCATTCACTTCCTTCTAGCAAATTGGTCACATTTAGGAGGTTTATTGTGGTGAGCATTTAGGTAATGCCCAATAGGATTTTTTACAAAAGAGTGCTGCTAATGAATTTCCTGGCCTTATAAAGTCTTTCTTGATCTATACTGAAGACAGAGAAGAGGCCAACACCCACTGTAAGAAAAAGCTTCCTTGTGTGACTGATTGACGTATACACACTTGTATATAGCGTGTTTAAAAGCCCAAGTCCTAATTCCATGCAGACACTTCTTATCAAGCATGAGGCATTGATTTATGTTACTTGTGTATTTTAGCACATAAGTAGGCTTCTTTAAGAGAGTGGATGGAAATAGATTGTTTGGATCTTTCTGCTTATCTAAATCAGCATATGAGACCAAGATAGCCTCTGTATGAGCAGGACTGACTATCTATGTGTATGAGCTGTTGTTAAGCAAGACCTCAGTATGGGCCCAGTGTATATTGTATGTATGAGTTGGTGTGAAGA